AATTACTGAAATAAATTAACTTTTCCACGACATTCTAATTTATCGAGATGCACCTGTACATTTGATGCCCAGACTGCTCTTTTGCATATCATGGACCTTTAGGCTTTTTCTTACACAGTTCTCTTTCATCTCCTCTTCAATGGACTATCTTTTTCATCTCAATTATGTTTTTCATCTCATTTAGTATCTGAAAAATGTATCTTTTTCATCTCATCTGAAAAAGAGGCCTAGCAACAGCAGGGACAAACATTTTCCTACAACTAGAAGCACTTTTAAGCACTTCCTATTGTTCAGGGAATTTGATCAGTAATTTGCTTTTTAAATAGTGTTGACTCCAGTAACAAATTGTTCTGCATTTGCAAGTCAATTTGGATAAAAGCACCTAGAAAATTATTAAATGTAAATGTATATGTAAATGAATGCTTTTCACCCAAAGTTCATACTTTTAAGTAGCTCATGTTTGTTTAACTGAGTGATTTTCTTCATAGGAATCAGAATGAAAAGAATGAATAAAATGCTCATTAAAATTAGAATAACTAATTTTAACTAATTAATAATTTATTTTTTATTTATTTTAATTAATAACTAAATCAAGCTAAATTGTAGTGTAATTGTACTATTTAAAATAACTGTTTTCTCGTTTAACATATTTCAAAATGTTTTTGATTTGTGGTTGCAAAGTTGAATTTTCAGCAGCCAGTCTGTACATGATCCTTCAGAAATCAGTCTAATATGCTGATTAACTGCTCAATAAACATTTATTATTGTTGTTGAAAACTTTGGTGCTTAAATTTAAATTTTTTTTCAGAATTATTTGATAATTTTATTTTTTTTAAATTGCATTTGTTTGAAATATAATTTTTTTTAAACATTATAAAAGTCTTTTTGGTCACTTTTGACTAATTTAATGCATCCTTGCTAAATAAAAGTCAACCTTACTGACCCCAAACCTTTGAACAGAATACGCATATAGATATAAATATTGCTTATATATAAATGATTAAAGATATAACAAATATCCATTGTTTCAAAGGTTGTATCTGATGATCACTCACCTGAACAATGAGGAGAAGCAGACACATATAGAGGGTGGTAAAGCGTCTCATTGTCCCAGTTGTTTGGATCTAGGTTGAGGTGCTTTGTGGCAGTGCCCACCTCCATCCACCTCTTTAAATACTGCTGATAAGGACCACTGAAATATGCAAAATCACTCTTATGTATGTGACACAACTCTGATTTCAATTATCATGGAACATTTCACACTAGAACACTTATCATCATCATCATAGCCCCTGGCAAACCATCTCACATTTACTCATGACCAAAAACTACTTCAAACCTCATAAGGTCTTCAGAAGCTTTTGGTCCCTTATCCTGCTTCATCAATTCTCGTTCATTGCATAGTGGGAGACAATGTATAATGCTTTTTTTTATTGATTTGCAGCAAACCCTCCCTTTTTCCAGCATGTTGTTTCTGAGTGTCTAATATGGTTAGTCATTGTGTTTATGGATATTTGCCTGTTTTTACTGTCATCGTAATAAATTTTTTTACATTTTTCTCAGGTTTTACAACCCATGCCCTTATTTAAAGGGGTCATATGATGCGATTTCAAATTTTCCTTTCTCTTTGGAGTGTTACAAGCTCTTGGTGCATAAAGAAGATCTGTAAAGTTGCAAAGACAAAAGTCTCAAATCCAAAGAGATATTCTTTATAAAAGTTAAGAGTCAGCCACACCTACCTAAAACGGCTCATTCTAACACGCCCCCACATATCTACGTCACGATGTGGGAAGATTTGCATAACGCTGCCCAAATGTTCACGCAAAGAAAGAAGGCGTAACTTTTATTCTCGCTGTAGTATTATTGTTCCAGCCGCCGCTATGTCGTGAAAACGCTGTGTGCTTTGTTGTGAAAGTGAAATTACTTTGTTTGGCCTTCCAAAAGAGGACGATATCTGCTTCGTCATGCCTGGAGCTGATCCGTGCTGGTTGCTGAGGAAATACTTCAACTTCACACTGTCCATCGCCGGATCGGCTTTCACACGTGGACGAAGCGGAGTCCAGCCCGGGGTCATCACATGTGGTTGCCGCAGGCATCACAATATGGCTAGGGACCTAACATTTCCGTCACACGCTTCAGGTATTCGGCCAATCACAACGCACTGGATAGCTGGCCAATCACAGCACACGATGAGCTTTGTAAAAATCGACGCGTTTCAGGAAGGCGGGGCATAGAGGAGAAATAATAATGTACAGTATGTGGAAAATAGTTTGTTTTTTTAACCTTAAACCGCATAAACACATTTCATTACACCAAATACACAAAATAATATTCTTATTAGCAGCATCATATGACCCCTTTAAAGGGTTTTTTAGCACTGACCTGTTGCACTGACAAAGAAATTGTTCACAAATCATCCTCACAAATTAAATGGTCACTTCTGGAATACTTTTTATTCTTACACTTATTACACTTATTATTCTTTTTTTTTCTGCGATTATAGTTTTGGTAGAATACTCCCCAATTTGAGGAAATGTTTTGCAACTAGGAACCATGTTTGCATATAAACAAACACAAATTCTAATTTTCTAAATGTACTAAGTAAACATGCATAGCGTCACACTGCTATGGGGTGTGTTGTTGAAGCACGTCCTGCTTGGATCTGAACAAATAACCCTAACTAGACCCTTTTTATTTATCCTGAGATTCTGAATGGTATGGGGGTTTTTTGTGCAAAACTTACAGATGTTTGTGTACATGTGGATGGTCATGTGTTACTGTATTCATATAGCTATCTGATGACGAGTTAGAATTGCAGAAGCTGTTTTTGCAGCTTCACTTCAATAGATTATCTTTTTAGACTAGAGGGGAAGGGTTACGGCGGTAAAGTTAGTTTGACGTTTGACATTCATTAGACATTCGGGTTTATTGCCAATTAAACTCTTTGCAGCTTTTATGTTTTAAGCCCAAACTAACTCAGATAGACATAAATATATGCCCTTTATGTTGCACAAGGCTTAATTTCTAGGAATTCAAAAAAAAAATTTTTTTTACCATTTAAATTAATTAAACAATTTAACTACGTGACATTATAATATAAAACCAATACTAAAATGTTCGGGAAAACATACCTGTTATCGCACAAAGCTCCGTGTTTGGAATTACAATTTTATGTTTTTTATAATAATTTTACAACTTTTAATGTATGCAATAATATAAATCCATTAAACGACAACACCATTTGATCTAAAGGTATCAAACCAACTGTAAAATATTCAGAATATTATTCCCTATAATGCACAAGGCTTGTTTTTTTCAGATTATGCCTTTACTGTTTTTATATACAGGACTGAATCCATATTTGTCATGTTTATTATTCTGTATCGACTTAAATTAATTTAACTCTGACACAGTTTAAGATAAAGGTATAAAAACAACTATAAAAATATCTAAATATTATTCAATTTAATGCACAAGGCTTGTTTTTTTCAGATTATGCCTTTATTGTTTTTATATACAGTACTGAAACCATATTTGTCACAGTAAAGGCATAATCAGAAAATAAACAAGCCTTGTGCATTATAGGGAATAATATTCTGAATATTTTACAGTTGGTTTGATACCTTTAGATCAAATGGTGTTGTCGTTTAATGGATTTATATTATTGCATAAATTAAAAGTTGTAAAATTATTATAAGAAACATGAAATTGTAATTCCAAAAACGGAGCTTTGTGCGATAACAGGTATGTTTTCCCGAACATTTTAGTATTGGTTTTATATTATAATGTCACGTAGTTAAATTGTTTAATTAATTTAAATGGTTAATTTTATTTTGAATTCCTAGAAATTAAGCCTTGTGCAACATAATGGGCATATATTTATGTCTATCTGAATTAGTTTGGTCTCAAAACATAAAAGCTGCAAAGAGTTTAATTGGCAAAAAACCTGAATGTCTAATGAATGTCAAACATCAAACTAACTTTACCGCCGTGGAAGACTTCAGGTTACGATAGTTGGCTCCAACAAATGAGGAGTAAATGTAATTGTTTCAATATGTTGCTGTACTTTCTATCACAGTGTCAGAGGCTAAAGCATTTGGTGTGGAGTCAGAAAAGGGGGGGAGCACTTCACTTCTCATACTGGATAAATTATGATTTGTTTAGCAGGGAACTTTGACAGCAGTTCAGCCTTTTCGTAGCTGTAAGTGTATTTACTGGCAAGTCACATGTTTGTGAATAATTAAGCGAGGAACTAATGATCATGAGACTCTTCTTATATTCTAATGAACAAAACCAAGAGAAATGTTCATTCAGAATATTCAGTGAACAAGATTTTACAAATCTTAACTTGTTAAATTGATATATAAATAATGAAAATAAATAAATAAAGGAGTATAATTAAGGAGATAACATGTGCTGTTTCCCTTATATATCAATATATTTAATAATAATACATAATTACATACTCTAATAGCATATTTTTGCATATACGTATACACAACATTATTATTAAGAAGTAGACTTTATTTAGAGGAGTAGAAAGTAGACTTTTATGTAGAATACATATACATATACATAAAAAGTATTTATACAATGTACTCATTGTTATCATCATGGTAGCATCAAAGGAAATAAATCCAGGGAGTAACTAAACTGTCAAAGAAAAGGTTTCAAGTATTCTATACATTCATTTATTCATTAATCATTTCAGAGTCTCAGTACATTTTATTAGTTCAGTTTTAAACAGTATGATTTCGGTTTGTTGTTTGCCCATTTTTGTTTGTGTAGTCTATATTTTATTTTCCATACATAATTTAAAAACAATCACCAATTTCCGTTCTAAACTCTTATTTCCATACAATAATAATAAAGTTTTACCAGTTAAGCGAATTATTACATTTGCGTGTTAACATTTTAGATGTTACACTTTAAGAAGTAGACTGCCTGCAGATGAAATTTGCAGGATGTCGTCTGAACTACTCGCGGAAGTGACGTAACTCCACGTTTGTTCCTCCAATCAGAGTTCGCAGCGTATGATTTCGAACATCAACGTCCCCGACGGGAAGGGAGATACGCCAGAGAAGCAACTCACACAAAAGACACAACTTACGCACTGTCCGCCCCAAAGTAGCTGCCCATTCATCTTATGATAGTTGCAAATAAGTGGGCAAGACGTACGCTGTGTTTTGGTGAAGCTCGGCGTAATATGGAGACAAACGTTAACCCTTAATCAGCTGATAGACTTTACATTGAACGTGTGGATGTGTGACTGATCCTGCGCAGCTCAGCTATGGTTCGGGAGCGGGTGGTGCAGAAGAAGTCCTTCCAGCAGAGTCTGGACGACATCAAGGACAAAATGAAGGAAAAGAGAAACAAACGTCTCGCCAACGCTGTAACGTTAGCTGCCAGCCGCGGCCTGTCAAAACTGAAGAACAGAAACACAGGTGCGATTACATGAGGGTTTGGCTTTGTGTTGCATTCCATCTTGGTATATGTGTGACTTTAGATGTAACGTTACCTTTTTTATGTGTTTTTGTGTTTATAACTTCCAGTTTGTCTTTAATTATACCGTTCGTGGTAAACTGTGTCATTTACGCACCCTCGCGTTGTTCCAAACTCATATGACTGGTTTACTTCTGTGAAAAACAAATTGGAATGGGACTGACAGCCTCATTCACTTTCATTGCATTTTTCCCTATTAACCTTAACATCTCCTTTTGTGTTGCACAGAAGGTTGGACAGGTTTGGAAGAAAATGAAGGGACTGTAAATCACAACATTGTTTCATTTTTCCATCCCTCCACAGCTACAGTGAAGCCATTCGTGCTGAAGAGCGTCCAGGTGAATAACAAAGCTCTTGCAGTTGCCCTGCAGACAGAGAGGGAGAAGGTACGGCAAGCGCAGGGGGTCATCCTGCAGCTCAAGAAAGAAAGGCAAGCACTCATCTTTCACCTGCTGATGCTGAAGAGGACGCTTAAAGATCGGGGACCTGGTGAAAGTGCCCAGGTTAGAGGTGTACACAAGGTGTCATGCAGATGCTGAGTACTTATTTCGCTTGGTGCTGATATGTAAAGTTTTCATGGATGAAGAAATGCAGTGTGGGATGTTGCGTCCATTGCATCCACAGATTTTTCTTTGATTGGGCATATGAGCTGATGTGTATAAAGTGTGTATAGTTATTCCATTTATTCAAGACTCTGCTGGTTTCATTTTCATGCTTGTTTTTGTAGGTTTCTTCTCCTGTTGAGACAAGTCCACCTCAGCCAATCAGTCCCAAGTAAGCAAGAGCAAATCTGTAGCTCTAAAGCTTTGAATAAAAAATATTATAACATCTGGGGTCAGTAAGATTTTTAAAATGTTTTTAAAAGAAGTCTGTTATGCTCACCAAGGCTAAGGCTTGATTTATTGATAAAAAAACAGCAATATTGTGAAATTTTATTACAATTTAAAATAATACTTTTGTATTTTAATATATTATAAAATGTAATTTATTCCTGTGATGGCGAAGCTGTATTCTCAGAAGCCATTACTCCAGTTTTCAGAGTCTCGCGATCCTTCAGAAATCAGTCTAATATGCTGTTCAAGAAACATTTCTTATTATTATCTGTTGGAAATAATTTTGCCGTTTAATATTTTTGTAGAAACCATATTTTTTTAGGATTTGTTGATGAATAGAAATTTCGAAAGAACAGCATTTATTTGAAATAATTATTATTTTTTAGCTTAATGAGGACCAAGCTGGACAAAAAACAGGGCCGAACTGTGAGTTCAACCTAGAGATTTCTGAACTCCCAGCTGTTCAGCACTCGACGCCTGAGCCCCCCCAGCGGACTGCCAGACAGCCCAAGAAGAAACCTACCCAAGCCGCTCCCCGCCCCAAACATGAGCGGGGGCGCAAACCAGACCGAGCCCCATTGAAGAAACCATGGGAAAACCCCAAACCCCGTGCTCGCTCCAAGAGCCGGGACCGATGTCAGAGTCGTACAAGAGCGGCACTTCCACCTGCCGATCACCTTAACTCCTCGTTGGGTGGCAATGACACCTTTGACTTTGACTGTGAAGAGGCCATCCATCTAACGCCTTTCAGAGCAGGAACCAAAGCTGTGGAGAAACCATCACCTGATGCTCCGGATAAAGAGGACAAGGTCTTGCCCAGTCCTGTTGCCATGGAATCCAACAACTGCCTCTCAGAAGATGAACATGATGCAGATGATTCCCCTTATGTACCAAAGAGGAGATCCAAAAGAGCTCGTAGTCCACCACCCAGACGGGCTCGCTCTAAAAGGCGGTCCGTTCAAGAGGCCAGAGAAAACAGAGGAAAAGAAAATACTTCCCAAAAGCAGGACCATGTTGAAATACAGCACAGAGGTAAGCATACAGTGTTTTTTTTAAATATATGTAAATGTTACATTTCATTGTTTTAATCCGTTTAATGTTCTACAGAAAAAAGTAGGCCTGAAACTGAAGAAATTGGTCTGCACCTCAGCGATGATCTCGGCCCAGGCCTTCTGCTCCCACATTCACCAGTTTGTGTTCCTCCTGAAAATCCTAGCCAATCAGAACCAAGCCAAGAGATCTGCCAAGGTAACTTTGTGTGTGGAAACACTAAACTTTTTTTTTTTTTTTTTTAACTTTTTTAATTGTAAATGATATCTAATGGTAGACTTATAAATCTAAAGATAAAATAATTAAAAAAGAGAAAGCAGTAACTATAAAGAATTCTCATTTATTCAGTGAAGCATATTTCAGGATTTCTGCAGGTTTCAAAAAGGTCTTCTTGATTCTCCTTTCTACAAATTAAGGCTTTAAACCCATATTTATTACCCATACGTGCAAAGTTTGTTTGCAAAAGGAAAATGAAATGATATAATTTACATTTGCCATTTCCAACAGTAGTCTTAATATGTAAATTGCATGCAAATTTGAACACTTTATATGTTGCAAAATGAAAATGATCATTTAAATGCTATTTGTCCTAAATGCATTTAGACTAACAGTTAGAACACTTAGGATTGCATTTTCATCATGACGCCGTGGGATATTTGTAGCAAAATTCAATTTGAAAATGCATTCCGAGCTGACCACGCCCACCCTCCATCAATCATTGCTTCGAGGCGGGGATTGGCGGAAGCATGTTACGTTTGGATCGTTTGAAACATGGCTGCTGGAGATCTGATAAGATCGTTGAATTCACTGGCAGATGAAGTGGAGCATGAACAGAGAAATATATGAAGCGTATTCCATGCTAAAATCAAACGTTCGTTCGAACGACCGATCAGTGTAAAATAATACTCAATAATATCCTGCTGTACTTCCCTGAATAAGTCTTTAAAGGTGTTTTAGGCTAATAAGTCGTTCTGAGTAATAAATTGAAAAGGCTCCCACCTGTATATGACTAAACAAAATAACATGTAGTTTACTTGAGGTTCTGCTATATGAATTTGAATGATTTTCAATGCCCCGCAGAAACCCTGCCTTTGTTGGAAAAGTAAATAAATTGTTTGATTATGTTATAACACTTTTCAGTAACAATATTTCATATTACAGTAAAGTGTAGTAGCTTTTTTAAGTTTCTGAAATATCCTATAATTGTAACACTCAGAGGTAACTTGAATGCTGTACTTTATGAAAGGAAAGGAAAACAAATTTGGCAGAGTTAAAAACAAACATTGGCCCTCCAGGAGCGGGACTGAGAACCCTGACTAGATCTTCACATTAATTGAATGTGATTTATCAACACCATCTTTAAATTTGCAACATCTGTTGTAAATATATGTATAGGCCTATGTTTAAATATATACATTTACTGTAATATGAAATATTGTTACTGAAAAGTGTTATAACATAAGCAAACATAATTAAAATGATTTATTTACTTTTCCAACAAAGGCAGGGTTTCTGCGGGGCATAGAAAATCATTCAAATTCATTAAATTACCTTTAATAACAGTCATTCAGCACTTTCGTTCAAAAACTCGAGAAGTCAATTAATTTCAAACATTTTTTGTATAATGAATTAATTAAAAATGTTTTTAATGGACATTTAAATGACCTTTAATAACAGTCATTCAGGACTTCCGTTCAAAAACTCGGGAAGTCTTAATTAATTTCAAATGTTTTTTGTATAATTCGTTAATTTAAATGAATGTTTTTAATAGACACATTTATAACAGAACCTCAAGTAAACTACGTTATTTTCTTTAGTCATGTACAGGTAGGAGCTTTTTCAATTTATTACTCGGAAAGACTTATTAGCCTAAAACACCTTTAAAGACTTATTCAGGGAAGTACAGCAGGATATTATTGAGTATTATTTTACACTGATCGGTCGTTCGAACGAACGTTTGATTTTAGCATGGAATACGAAGCAATGATTGATGGAGGGTGGGCGTGGTCAGCTCGGAATGCATTTTCAAATTGAATTTTGCTACAAATATCCCACGGCATAATGATGAAAATGCAATCCTAAGTGTTCTAACTGTTAGTCTAAATGCATTTAGGACAAATAGCATTTAAATGATCATTATGCTACCATTTCTGCTTGAACATGTTACACATATCAAATCAATTTGTTATACATTTTCATTTTCATTTCGCAACTTATAAAGCGTTCAAATTTGCATGCAATTTACATATTAAGACTACTGTTGGAAATGGCAAATGTAAATTATATCATTTAATTTTCATTTTACTTTTGCACCAAACTTTGCACGTATGGGTAATGGAAAATGGAAATTTAAATACAGAAATACAATGCCATTTTGAATATTGCATTTTAAATTGAATTTCGCTACCTATATGCTTCCATACTATATTGACGTATTGTGGTCCATTCAATGTATTCCCTAAATTCTCTTTATTTTGTCCTACATTTATCTTTATAACCCCTGTTTTAACAATGAAATATTTCTTTACATTTTCCTTGTTTTCTTTACTAGGTCTTAAAAAGTCTTATATTTGTCTTTATAACCCGTTTTAACAATGGAAATATTTTCCCATAGCGCCACCTTCTGCTGTTTCTGTGGAGTCTCCGATCCCGATTACTCCTGGTGGAGAGGTAGAGCTTATGATGATTGACTGCCCAATATTTGAATTTCCAAAGCGCCCTAGTAACTCATCCAACCAGGAAAATAAAATGGCTTTGGTGAATAAAGGCAGAAGAAAAGGTAAAATCCTTGTTGCTTGTCTTTCTATTTGACTTTAGATTGTTACATCTGTTGATCTGGGCACATTTCCACCAAAATGTGCTGGAGGAGCTCTTGTATCTTATATCAATCTCTTGTTTCTCACTGAATGTATGTGTACCTGTCTTTAAATATTCACTCACCAATGTCACATTTCTTGAGGTCACTTTTTCCAGGAGTGGTAGAAGGAAAATGAATTTGTCACACATGCACTTGTGTTTCTGCAGGTGAGATGGTTGTTCGCTCCTTTCTGGGCTTGGGTTTGAGTGATGTGACAAATCTCTCCCCCGCAGCCTATCAGAAGCCCATGTCTGCTCAAAACACCCCTCAAAGCTCCACTCGTAAGCGCCGCTGTATGAGTACTGTCAACTACAAGGAGCCATCAATCAACTCGTAAGTTCTTTGAAACTTGAAATAGTTTGAAGTGCCTGGTATTCTTCTTTCTGATATTGTAATATTTTTCAAGCTTATGGCATGATTTTTTTGTACACTTTTTATTTTTTAGGAAACTTCGACGGGGTGACCAATTTACAGACACCCGTTTCCTACGTTCCCCCATCTTCAAACAGAAACCCACTTCCCGTCGAAGTTCACTTAAAAAGATGGAATTATATAATGAGTCTTTTGTGGGTTGTCGCTGAATAACTTTATTTTACATATTACATATGTTAGGCCTTTGTAGCATGTTTTCTGCCCAGCTTCATAGAATTACAGTGCTGTATGTCTAAACCTTTGCATTATTTTTTCCTTTAGATTTTTAACTGTTTCATGATTTTTTTTTTTTAAATCTCATGATTTTAATTGTGTATATTAATAAAATGTGCCTTTTAACTGTCTGGTTTGTTTTCATTTACAATTAGGAGCCCATTACACACAAAAATAATCATTTTTATTAGACTTACAACTGGAAGCATTTCAACAGATTAGTTTTATTTTCAGAAAATAAGGAGTTTATTTTCACTCAATTGTGTTAAAGTGTCAAGGTCATTTTGTGAGTTTGAAGATACTTAAGTCATAAAGTATAATCATTTTAAAGAATTTCATAGAAGGTGATGTAGGCTATATAAACTATAGCAACTAGCTGATTGTAGTCATGTCTGTGTAAGCCATGTAGTACCAACTACCAATTGTTTCTCATGTGTCCAAATGCTTTACATGAAGCTGAAGTTACAATTGTGATTAAGCAGTTACTATAGTCAGGATAAAATGAAAAAAACTTTTGCAATGGAAGTATGTAGCTGACATTAACGTGAATACTATAAAAATGCTGGTCTGATGAAATTACTTAATTGTTTTAGCAATGCTTTACACGAAAGTAGAATTGGTTAACATTAAGAAATCTTAATGTATTATTAGCAATGAACAGTTGTACTGCATTTATGAATAGCTTGCATTAACCTAGATGGAACGCTGTAAAAAAAAAAGTTGATATGAACATTTAGATGTATAAGTAGCATTTACTGTTCAACTAATAATTAATGAAACCTTGTCCTCATCTTATGGTTGCCTCATGAACTAACAATATTTCATTTACATTAAATACACTCATTACTCTGTGCACTGTGAACATCTATTTTATTAGCATCAAGATTAATTGTATAAAAATATAGTTCATTGTTAGCTAATCTATTAAGTAATGTTAACAACTGAGACCTTAGTGTAACGTATTCATTCCTAACTAATGCATGCATGTTACCACTGTATTGATGTTGCACAAGCATATGTATCAATCTATGCCATGTATTTTCCATTTCTGCCTTCACATGAAATCAAGAACAGTGTAAACTCATCAAAAAGGCACACGTGAACATTTTCCCCATTAGTACAAAACCAGCTTCAAAATCATCCATAAGACAATGGACACAAAACAAAACACATTTACGAGTTTACAAGTCAAACACGTTTATTTAAGATAGATTATGCTTTCTTTTGTGCTGCAGCTTTCTGCAGCTTTTTCAACTCATGCTTGATGATCTTGTTCCTCTGCGGACAGAAAAAAAAACAGGTTAATTTGTAATCATCTTCTGCCACTGCAGCAGCATATACACCACAAATTATTTTTGTACTACAGTCCAACAAAACATACCATTTTCTTGGCCTTCATCACCTTGTAACGATCAAAGTCAGACATTGTGGCCCTCTGTTAAAAGAAAATTAGCATGGTAAAAAAAAACAATTATGAAGCATGCTGCAAAAGTCCTAAGACGCAACCTCGAAATTGCTAGATCAGGGTAAAAGATGCCTTTCATTCACAACACGAACAATCTTCATCCAACTAACAACTGTGCATGAGTGCAAGATCTCAACCGGCTCTATAACATACCTTCTTTCTGGCTTCAATTTTCTTGGCCCAGCTGCTTTCTTCCCACTTCTTGTTGATCTCTGCCTTTTCCCAGGCGCGCCTCACGTACTTCTGACGGGCACTGAAGCAAACCAAAACAGAGGTGATACGTGAAATAGGCACAAATTAACAAGGGCTCAGGCCAAATATACCACCAAAAGTGACAAAAATGTTTCATTAAAAAAAAAAACCCAAAGTTAATCTAGTTAACAGATTGTTGAATGCAGAGGCATTTAAGTGACCTGAAGGCATTAGATCTTTTTTTAAACATAAATATGAAAGTACATATATTTGAAGGGACTTTATACTAAAAGGCACCTCGAAGTGTAAAAAGTAGCAAAAACCAACGACAGCGCATTTAAAATAAGTCTTAAAATAATTTCTGAAATTGGTGTAAAATTTTAGCACACAATTTAGAGAGAACAAGAAAACAATTTTGACATTTGAAAGCGGAGCCAAATTTAGCGATACACAAGAACCACTGATAATCAAATACTACTACAATGAGACCAGCAAAATACATGTACTCATAAACCAGGGTTCCTCAAATCTTGCCCTGGAGGGCCAACGCGCTGCAGAGTTTAGCTCCAACCCTGATCAAACTCACCTACCTGTGATTTTCTAATGATCCTGAAGACACTGATTAGCTTGCTCAGGTGTGTTTGATTAGGGTTAGAGCTAAACTCTGCAGGAAAGTGGATCTCGTGGGCCAGATTTGAGGATCCCAGTCATAAACGCTCTGGGCACATAAGCTCACCTGTGAGGTACTTTGATGACGTAGTCAGTGAGCTGCAAGCACTTGAAAGGCATCCCCTGTCTCTTCACTCCAGTGCATGGGCCATCTACCAGTGCCTACAGACAATTTACAACAAGCTCAAGTTAGGACTCTACAAATCTGCCATGAGTGATTTAACCATGGCGTGCTTTCATGAAGCTTTTCCATGTGAAATGAAGGTTGTACGCTTCACATTATAAAGTATAGCAGTATTCAAACCTCACCCTGTTTTGGTCAATGACATCTACGATTGCCACCAGTTTGCCCTCGTGAGGACCGAAAGCAATGAAGGCAACCCGGCCGATCTCGACAAAGCGCTTAAACACCTGAAAGTCAAAATACAGGGAACAAGAGAAGAGCATTGATGCATTTTCAGTTCAAACTGAAAAAGTAACGACTGACATTGCTTTGGGCGCATCCAATTATATATTTGAGCCGGTTTCTCCCTTTCCAAAAGTCCCCAGCTTTATATCCACAGTACATCTGTCCTGCTAAATGATCACACATGCCTCCAGAAGAATGAGACCGACCGAAGCACGGCATTCCAGTTTTAAAACTCATTCATCTTTGGGTTTTCGTAACTTTAGCATCATTTGTTGGTAATAAGTATGAAACACAAGTCTACAATCTGATATGTCAGTATCTGCTGTAGCTCCGGCCTAACCCACTGCACCACGTTGTTTCGAGTCATTTTCTCACCGATAGCTAAAAGTTCACTTCTACTACAATCGTATTGTGTGTGGGGCCATTGTGTTATTAAAACACGTTTCCGATGTATCCTTGGTCTGTAATATTTCAAAAAACACCAGATTTGCTTGACTTTAGCCTCTGCGTAAGTGAGTTTACTCACCATGATGGCAGACCGTGGTAGAAAAAGAACTAAAGCACTTCCGCTCTGGAATGAAGAGCCTTCCGTTTGAGCAGTGCGCATGCGCGGCGGCTGTAAACGGGTGGGAATGGAGGGGACTAGTACTATTGCAGCTGTTTATTTTCATTTTTCAAAGTTTGCCAGAGAATGTGCATTATGAATGTAATTTATGAATTGCCCAAATCGTTTAAGCAGTTTGATACCAACTGTTCGAAAGAATCGAAATATCCGAATTGCATTATTAATCATATGGTTACGAACAAATCATACGAGTAAACATATATATTATTTTTGAAAATCCCGTGTACTTGTAAATAATGCACTAATTTGTTTTGTGCTTTGTGCTGGTCATAGCTAGAGCTGGAAGAAAAGCTTCTAATGAACGCAGTTTAGTGTGTGACCGCTGGGTGGCAGTAACAAGCGCCCGCGGTCTCACAGTTACACGTAAATACTGATTTGACTTTAAACGTGGCAGGTTTGTGCTGAAAGAAAATTGTTCCACATTTCTTAAGAGGAGGCTCGTTGGTCTAGGGGTATGATTCTCGCTTAGGGTGCGAGAGGTCCCGGGTTTAAATCCCGGACGAGCCCTTTTTTTTCAAATGCTCTTACTGTCACAATGGCAATTAAATAATATATATTTGTTAAATTACGTTGTTTATTTATGAAACAATAAAAATGATGTTCTCAATAAAACTTTACAATATAGTAATGGAATGAATGTATTATTTGCTTCATGTTAGTTGGTTTTCAATGTAAAACATTCCATAGGCTATATATCAAAAATAGAGTAAAAACAGTAATATTGTAAAATACAGGTTTTCTATTTTAATATACTTTAAAATAGCCTATAATCTATTCCTGTGGTGAAAAAAAAACCAAAAAATACATATTTTTTGGGGGGGGAACGTGTGCTACTTTTTTTTTAGGATTCTTTGATGAATAAAAAGAAGATTAAAAAGAACAGCATTTACTCAAAATAGAAATCTTTTGTAATAATATAAGTCTTTGCTATCATGTTTTATCCTTTCGACATATCCTTGCTGAAAAAAAGTAGGCCTATTACAGTTTTTCTGAATCGCTAAAACACTAAACCCCAATCTCTGGACCAAATTCTCACTAGCTTAAACCAATTTGTCGAATAAAGCACTCTTTCTGCTAAACCTTAAACACGTTCAGGCAAATCTCATGCACTCTTTTTGCAAAACTCTGAACACATTCTCATTCACTTAAACACTTATCACACTGTGATGCATTTGTGCTGCAAAATGTTAAACACAAGCAGAAAACGTTAAACACAACTAAATCGCAATTGTCATCGTTTTCACACAACGATTCAAAATTGTTCAAACTTGTTTCTAATGATGTGATCAAACCAACTGTACAAAATATGACCCAGTTCAGAGTGCACAAGTGGCACAGGTGACTGAAGGATGATACGAACATTAGAGAAGGAGAGGAGGAAGAGTACATGTAAGAAGTGGAGAATGAGGAGAGAATGAGTAAGGTTTACTGTAAAGAGTGTTATCAAGGCTGGATCTGTCAGACCAGAGGGTTTTTTCTCTTTGTCTAGCAAAAACGACAACATTACTTGTGATGTGGACAAAGTCCTCGGGCCGGACTCAAGCACAAAGACATGATGCTGAGACAGAATGAATCTCTCATTGACCCTGGTTTTACAATTGCACAACTTACAGTATTTTAGTGTACTGTAACATGCTATCCATTTAGAGTTTTATTTGACCTTTTTGGCCTTTGCAGTTTGACTGCAGTATTTCTGCAGTATCCAAGTGCTGAATATATACAAACATTCAGTACTATTCAATATTCAGCACAATACTATTCTTGCAGTACATACAGTTGGCCTATGTGATATATTCACCTTACTCAGTTGCAGTTACAGTTTTTCTCAATTGCTAACACACTATAACTGATTCGTTTGGCACAATTTTCCAAACCATTCATACAGTTCCTGAAACAAAGACATGTTTCTCAAAACTTTTAACACATTTCACCTGTTTTCACACACACTCCAATTTGCTCAGTGTTTTCAGCTAAACTCTACACAAGAACGGCATCATTTTGCACAGGTTTAGCATGTTCTCATTTAGAAAACACAAACACACAATATAACTACCTCAAGAATCACAAAATGAACACAAATAGCACACATTTATCCATGTGTGAACATTCAGTAGCAAAACTGATGACAGAAACTGACTGTCAGAATCTCAGGATGGTATAAAAAGGAGCGCAGGTGATTATGTGATTTGGAAAATGAATCCTACTAGTGAGAGACAAAGAGGAAGAGGAGGGGAAACGAAAACTGAAGGGGACGGGGTCAAAGGACATTTATTCCTGATGAAATACTCAGCACTATAGTTGATCATGTTCTTGTGCATGAGGACAGCTGGCCTACAGGCTCATCTACAGGCTTTCAATACTACTTACAGATCAAATATAATGACAGAACAGTAGCAGTACTTCAGATGAGAGAACTTTTACTTTTTATATATATGTACAGTAAATACTGAAGAACAGGTTGTACACCCTCAAACTCATAACTGCTGAACTGATCTGTAGCCAATTACAGTACTTCTTACATGTACTGTATTTTTGCAGAACTAAGAGATGACTCTATATTCTGTTGTGTTCATATGCAATTCTTTGGTATTTTACCTTTTCCTTTCTAGTGTTTTTCATCTACTGTACTGTAAGATCTCTTTACAGCAGTGTAATGAAAATACAGTAATATTTTCTTTCTGTAAAGCTTATTGTTGAATTTCACTGTATCTGCTGTATTTACTGTAACATGTATCTGCTCTAATTATGTTGTATACTGTAACAGACATTGAGCTGTAAAATGATACCTGATTGCCAAAAGAAGGTTTTTGCAACAGTTTTATGAATTGATCTCATTAGTGTGAAAGACTATGTTGTTGTGTGTGTGTTTTTGAGGGCTTGCGTGCCATGTCTGAGGGCGAAGTTTGTTTTTTTCAGCCAGATTGAATAGTTTTGAGTGGAGAGCTTAATTTTGACCTGAAAATAGGAAGTATGAGGAATTGGGTGAGAAGTTGTGGGTTTGTCTTTAGAGTTTCGAGAAAAGGAGTCACAATTTCAAGAAATGTGTTTAAGCAATCGAGAAAAACTGTACTATACTTTTTTTACCGAATTGCAAAATTGTTTACACAATACATTTTTCTGTAATGTTCTGGATACTGTGTTCTCCATTTTTCTCTGTAGTGTCTAATGAATAGTGTTTATTTTATTGACTCGTGTGTTTGTGTATGTGTGTGTGATCTGAAAGCACCGTTTGATTTTGAGTGCAAGTGAAATGGTTTTGCAGTGATTGTCTGATTTTGATGGAAGAGTCAGAGGTTTCGTGAATTTAGTTTGAGTATTTAATTAATTTGTGTTTAAGGTTTTGAGAAAATGAGCGATGGTTTCAAGAAAAATGTTTTAGCAATTCAGAAAAACTGTAATTTCTTTGCGGCCTGACAAAACATACCAATTCACAAAACTAACAGAATGCATGGCTGATATAAAAAAAACTAGATGACTAGTAATTTCCTACTGCTAAATTCTGAAAAAACACAGATGTTAATTATCAGACCAAAAGCCTCTCTGCATGTAATAATCTAGAACCCTGTCTAACACTTGATAGCTGATGTGGCTGTTAATTCTTCGTCATCGGTTAACCTGGGTGTGCTATTATTTGATAGCAATCTTTCCTTTGAAAACCAGGTTTCATTTGTAAAACCACATTTTCCCAAATCACATTATTCCTTCACATCTGCTGCAATCTCAACACTCAAAACAGCTTTGCCATCACTGGAATAAATTATATTTTAAAGTATATTAAAAGAGAAACCGTTATTTTAAATTGTAATAATATTTCAAAATATTATTGTTTTTATTGTATTTTTGATCAATTAAATGCAGCCTTGATTAGCATAAGGGATTCATTTGAAAAGCATAAATAAACTTACTAATCCCTAACTTTTGAATGGTAGTGTATATAATTTGCAGATTTCCAAAGGTACTGCATAACACTTTTATGGCTGCATAGAGATATGTGACCTCTATCAGTTATAAATAAAAATGAATATGTGCTCTAACCAAGAGTGGGTGAAAGGTGCTTGTTTGGTCCTTGGGGATCTTCTTTGACCACTTCCCTATTTGCACTGCCGGTGTTTCAGTCCACATTCTCACAAAAATGATATGTCAGTGATGACAATACATGAGGAACCATGAGAACAGATCATCAGAAATTTATACTTGCACAAAGGAGGTAAGCTGTGCATGTATGCATCTCTAAATGTGTGTGTTTATGAAATAAAGAGATACAAGACAAAAACGTTAGTTCATGCGAGTAGAACTTCTTTCTTTTATGCATTGATAAAATCTATTCTATATTTCTTATATATTTTCTTGCTTGTATATATATATATATTTGGGGGTGGGGCATACCCAAGGGGCATATCCTAGTTCTGAATATTAGACAGAAAATGTTCTGACACAAAAGCCTGCAGATTCATGATAAAGAAGACGAAAATAAATTAATAACAGAACAATTTGAGCATTTTGTATCTGTTCACTGTATATCACAGTTCGGGATGGATCTCCAGTTGGCTGCCATCCTGGTGTCCCACCTCGCTCTCCCATCTTATAAAAGCAGAAGACAGAATCCTGAAACGTAAGTGTACTGTAAGGGTAACTCCTATAAGGTTTCTAATCCCCATACAAACCATTCAACATCTCTATTGTATTTTCAGCCATCAAAGTGAAGTTTACTCAAGGATATGTACCCATATCTAATGGCAACTACATATGGACTCTTGGCTTTAATGAGAGAGAAAGCTCACCTGACCTCTCTGCTTCTGGGGTTCAACACCATCAGGTCCCACTGGTGCTACTACATGGTTTTGGGGGTGGAGTGGGTCTGTGGGTAAAAAACCTACCTGCCCTTGCACAGGAAGGACGGGCCTTCTTCGCACTGGTCATGCTGGGTTTTGGACGCAGCAGTCGACCAACCTTCGGCAGGGATGCAGAGGAGCAGTTTGTACAAGCCCTGGAGGACTGGAGAAAAGCAGAAGGGTTGGAACATATGATTCTTCTGGGCCATGATCTTGGAGGATATGTGTCTACCACCTATGCCCTGAAATATCCTCACAGGTCTCTGTGTGTGTGTGTGTGTGTGTGTTTGGGATTATAATAAAATATAACAAACATTTTAATAAATAACAATACTGAATTATTCAAGGATGCTTTTAATGTCTGCTATAATGATTTTTTTGTAAATAATTTTGTCACAGATTGAAGCACTTGGTGTTGGTGGAGCCATGGGGTTTTGCAGCAAGACCGAATGTCAAGGAGCGTTGGGTTCCCATCTGGATTCAAATATTTGGGGCAGCAATGAATCCATTTAACCCTCTTGGTCCGCTTAGGCTGGCAGGCCTGCTGGGTATGCAACAGTGTTATTATCATTAACTGAAACTAAAACTATTAAGAATAATTTTGAGTAAATAAAATAAAGCTTAAATAAAGTAAAATATAAACATTAAATGAAAAACTAAAACTTAAATAAATTTTGCTGTGGCAACTAACTGAAAAAAAAGTAAGCTGACATCCTAAAATTACTAAAACTAAAACTGACATTTAAAAAAGCTAAATAGAAGTATTAAAAAGCAAAACTAATAAAAATGAAAAAGCACATATCAAGATTACTAATTGTTTTAAAACTAAAATTAAATTAAAATAAAAAAATAAAAATAATATTTAAAAATATTAATAAATAATATAAATGATACTGAAATAACACTGGTCTGAAAATTAAACACATCTGTAGTCTGTACAAATATGAATTGTGCTTGTGTTTTGTTCCTTCAATAAGAAAAATGGAATGAATCACATCGCGAGATACAAATTCACATTGTGAGAAATAAGGATGCAGTTAGGAGAAGTTAACAACTATATATAAAGCGAGACGTAAGGTTATCACGAGAAATTTTATCCTGATTTGGAAATCTTCCATAGTATGGCGACTGATCTTTCTTTGCGAATTTATTTCTCTTTCAGGTCCTTTGTTGCTACAGCTTTTGCGAGCAGATTTTAAGCAGAAATTTGCTTCTGTATTTGCATGGAAACCTAGGTTGCTGCTGGAAGAGGTGTTAGTGAGGCCAGCAGGGGGTGCTCACCCTGTGGTCTGTGTGGGTCCTAACGCCCCAGTGTAGTGACGGGGACACTATACTGTCAACAAGCACCGTCCTTTGGATGAGAAGTTAAACCGAGGTCCTGACTCTCTGTGGTGTAAGGTCCACGCACCTGGCCCAAGGAAGGTATCCAGTGGCGGATGATGGTCTCTTGTGTGTTTGGTCTTTTCAGCGCGCACAGAGGAGATGAAAATGCACTGATGCATATGTGAGAGAGGCGTTTCCTGCACCACCCCTCTGTGGGGTGTCTTGAAGATGCCAGTGTATTGTTTGTTTCTCAGGAGATCAAAGTATTTTAGTTTCTTTTATCCTTACAGTGGTCATTAAAAAATCCCAGGATGTCTTTCGAAAAGAGTAGAGGTGTGACCTCGGCATCCTGGCCAAATTTGCCCATTGGCCTCTGATCATCATGGCCTCCCAACAATCCCCATATCTGCTAATTGGTTTCATCACTCTGTCTCCTCTCCATCAATAAGTTGGTGTGTGGTGGGCGTTCTGGCGCACTATGGCTGCCGTCGCATCATCCAGGTAGATGCTGCACACTGGTGGTGGATGAGGAGATACCCCCTGACAATGTAAAGCGCTTTGAGTGCCTAGAAAAGCGCTATATAAATGTAATGAATTATTATTATTATTATTATTATTATTTATCTACGGATCATGTTCCAGAATCGATGGCCAATCAGGTGACCCAACTCACACACAGAAATCATAGTAAGTTTTATTTCAGTGATCACATTGTTTTCCCCTTTAAAACTCCACACAATCACCTTTTTCTTTCTAATTCCTTCAAGGTCATTCAGGGTGCAGGTCACTACATATTCGCAGACCAATCAGAGGACTTCAACCAGACTGTGCTCAAGATATGCAATAACTTCAGGCACATAATCAATGGGGAGGAATATAATCAATGAATAAGAGAGAGAGAGAAAAATAATTAATGAATGAGAGAGAGAGAGAGAGAGAGAGAGAGAGAGAGAGAAACTGAACAAAAAATTGCATGGTGGAGAGAGAATATGAGCCCAAGTCCTGTGTAAATGACAGGAGGATGAAGGTGTGAAATGAGAGACAGAGGAAGAGGAGGTGGAAAATATAATGGAAAGAAAGATGAAAACTTGCTCGATCATTTATAGCTTTCTGCAAGCGTGCTTTACAAAATAAATACATACGTAAATAAATATATAGGCCACTCATGATGAATTTAATGCATCTGTTATATGACAAGGACAAAGTGATTTATTTTATTTAGGAACATCTTCAGTACTTCTGAATAATTCAGTATATTACGCAAGCAAATGTAAGAATGTAAAAATTGTACAAATAAACGGCTTTGCTTTTGTATGCTGGCCCCTGGTTGACTTCCAATCTAGAGCAAGATCACATAAAATAAATCACATTACTTATTCAAATTCAAACTCAATCCCTCAGTCTCCTTTTACACTGCGATTCAGTCTTCATTTGCTTTATAGACATCCTAAATCTTGATGTTTTTACCCAGTGCACATATAAGATCCTGCTCACCTAAAACGGACAGTGTTGTAGTTGACTCCTCTGCCAAAGAAATCACAACATTCAAATTTACATGCAAAAACTTTATGACACAAAAACTGAAGGAGCCATCTTGGAAGGATATTTGAGTAAATGCAAACTGGTTGGATTTGAGGATGTTGTTGTGTATTACATACATACATACTGTATATTAGTTTTACTTGACAGTGTTATGGCGAACTGAATTCAATATTTTCCTGCAGCTCCGGGGGAAAGCTTCAGCACCCATTATGCGATATAATGAAATGTATAATATGTATATGTATATATGTATAAAGAAAATGATTGTTTTGCTGTTACTGCATTTGCTGTCAATTTGAGTTATGTTTTATGTAGTGTAAATTTAGAGTGCACGTAGAGCAAATATATGTCAACATCATTGGCTGTGTCCATTAAGAAATAATGTTCCAACAAATATTTTTCTTTAATACATGGGACATACAAGCTTAATAACTACATACCAGCATTTAATCCCAAACCCCTGTACCCTGTTACTTGCAACCAGATTACCCAGCTTTTTAAATTTAATTGTAATGTTTGTTTAATTTATGGTTTTCCTTCAATCTTGCAGCTATATTCATCAAACAGACTACAAACATAGGCGGGTTATTTGAAAGATTGTTTATCTGATATCTGATACTGCTTATGCAGATAAGAAAAAAAGTTACTTCACTTATTTCCTTTAAAGTTCTTTGCTAAATTAAAAAAGGGAATTTAACATCAGAAGTGGGTGTCATTTACTTATCTATTTAGAACAGACATGAGTAATTTGAAATAGTTTATCTGATTTTGCAACACATCCTCCACAAACACTTATGCATAGAAGGGCAAAGAGCAAACTACATAAAGAGCAATGCACTCATCCATGTTGATCTGGTTCAAACACATTTACACTGAGGACAGACAGGTAAGGATCATGATAGCTCTTTTCCCACCACCATCGGTGGAACACACAAGTGAATATGTAACACTTCAAATCTGGAAATCAATCACTTGCAGGTTAAGCTGTTGTATTTTGCCTAGTGTCACAGCAAAAAGACACTGCACTGACTTTATGACATGTGATGACTTAAAAAAAATAGATAAGACAGAAAACAAGCATAGACTCAGTCAATGTGTTGTATTATATCTTAGGTGAGGATGGGTGACCTTGTGATTTTGTTGCTCACACTTTTTCCTGGGCTGTGCATTGCTGATTTGACAGGTAAGTTTAGAATAATAGAAGTAAAAATGCCTGAATTCAAGAATCAGAGAAGTTAAATTAATTCATTTAAAATTATAGACTGAAATATAATTAGTGGTTATTGAAAACTTCTATGTATGTATCTATCTATCTCTCTATCTCTCTCTATCTCATATATATATTTATGTTGAACAGAGAATATCGCTGTTGGAGCTGAAGCTGTCCAGTCTTCCACATACAATCATTTAGGAGCTGCTCAAAATGCTGTTGATGGCAATAGTGAGTCAAATTACATGCTCGGGTCCTGCACTCACACTGCAGGGGACGATCCCTGGTGGAGAGTTGACTTGAGGAAAGTGCACACGGTAACCAGTGTTAGTATCACTAATCGAGGAGACTGTTGTGAAGAGAGGATAGTTGGTGCTCAGATCCGTATCGGCAACAGCCTGGAAAATAATGGCAACAGCAATGATCTGTAAGTGTTGTATCACTCTCTAATACTTACACAAATATTTCATTTGCTACATGCCTTTTTGATTGCTATGTTGCTCTCTATTTCTCTTTCTCTGTGTGTATTAACAGGGCTGCAACTGTTGGGTTCATCCAATCTGGAGGCACAAAAACCTTTGATTTTAAGCCTGTTAAGGGGAGATTTGTCAACATTTTTCTGCCTGGGCACGGGAAATACCTCACTTTGTGTGAAGTAAAGGTATTTTCAGGTAAGGGAAAGACTCTGAGATAAAATGTGTTCATGTTTTGTTTTATGTTTGTGTTTTATGCAGGGTCGGATTTATGCACTGCGATAACCTCCCCGTGCTGAGATGCGTCGTAACATGTGTCATGTGTCGACGACAGCCAGAGATAAAAGCATCAAAAATTGGCAATATTAAGACGATTTAGCATTTCCAATTAATGTAGACATTCTTTATTATTATTAGGCCTATTATTATTAGGTTACTTTTATTATTAAATTACATGAAATTATTGCCCCGCATGTCCTTATTGAAAATTTTTTTAATTTTTTTTAACAGGTCTTTTCATTTATATAAATGAATTATAGGCCTATTATTACAATTATTAACATTGCAGTCATCAATGAAAATCAAGAGCAGCTTTATTTCGAGCACCGATTTCACCGACAAAAACAACCTGTTTAACCGAAATACGTTTCTTCTCATGTTTTTCACTAAAGGGGCCACAAGAGAAATATTAAGGGAATAATTTAAGACAGTTATATACCGTTATCAGCATATGCTGGAGTAGTTTCGTCTCTCGTTGTCTCAGAGAATATGCGCCGTTAATGCAGCGTTAGAAAACTCCGTCAGTTTTTTAACTTTCTCTTTCTCTATAGTGAAGAGATCACGAGAAAATTAAGTCGTTATAACGAGAAAACAACTCTCGTTATGTCGATATAACGAGAAAATAAGTCGTTATAACGAGAAAACAAGAAGGGAAAAAAAATTAATGCATGGCCGGCTTGGCCGCTTAGAACTTCCGTACCGGCATAACTCTTGTGCACAGTTTGCGCGTTGCTTGCGTGTGTTGCTTGATTTAATTCACAAATATCTCAATTACAATTTAGTAGAAATCAATTGTATTCAGATGTGTTTTAGGCACTAAAACAGTCCAATACTTTATAGTCAATCACATTTTTATATTGAAATAATAACGATTTCTGTGCCACCCCAGACTGGTTGCTGGCCCCTCCCTGGCCACCCCTATAAAACATCCTGGCTCCACCACTGCCCATAGTATAACAAAAAATAGTACATATATCTCTTAATTGTGTATGGGCCCCCCGGGACAAGCGAGCATAGGCACGTGCCTAGAATGCCTATGCGTAAATCCGGCCCTGGTTTTATGTTTATGTACAAAAAAAATGTTTATGTGCTTATTAATTTGTGCATAACTATTTTTTTTAAACAGTAAAGGAGACATCAGAGTGCTCTTGTGATTCAAGTGAGTGTTCTTCATTGCTTGAAATGTGCTGTCAGTAGCACATCAATATTGTTTGAAGCTGTTGATAGAATTTAAACATTTGGAAACCTATAATCCATCATTTCGATTACAAACCCGATTCCAAAAAAGTTGGGACACTGTACAAATTGTGAATAAAAACCGAAAGCAATGATGTGGAAGTTTCAAATTTCAATATTTTATTCAGAATACAACATGGATGACATATCAAATGGTTTAAACTGAGAAAATGTATCATTTTAAGGGAAAAATAAGTTGATTTTAAATTTCATGGCATCAACACATCTCAAAAAAGTTGGGACAAGGCCATGTTTACCACTGTGTGGCATCCCCTCTTTTTATAACAGTCTGCAAACATCTGGGGACTGAGGAGACAAGTTGCTCAAGTTTAGGAATAGGAATGTTGTCCCATTCTTGTCTAATACAGGCTTCTAGTTGCTCAACTGTCTTAGGGCTTCTTTGTCGCATCTTCCTCTTTATGATGCGCCAAATGTTTTCTATGGGTGAAAGATATGGACTGCAGGCTGGCCATTTCAGTACCCGGATCCTTCTACGCAGCCATGATGTTGTAATTGATGCAGTATGTGGTCTGGCATTGTCATGTTGGAAAATGCAAGGTCTTCCCTGAAAGAGACGACATCTGGATGGGAGCATATGTTGTTCTAGAACTTGGATATACCTTGCAGCATGGATGGTGCCTTTCCAGAGGTGTAAGCTGCCCATGCCACACGCACTCATGCAACCCCATACCATCAGAGATGCAGGCTTATGAACTGAGCGCTGATAACAACTTGGGTTGTCCTTGTCCTCTTTAGTCCGGATGACATGGCGTCCCAGTTTTCCCAAAAAAAATTCAAATTTTGATTCGTCTGACTACAGAACAGTTTTCCTCTTTGCCACAGTCCATTTTAAAGGAGCCTTGGCCCAGAGAAAACACCTGCGCTTCTGGATCATATTTAGATATGGCTTCTTTTTTGACCGATAGAGTTTTAGCCGGCAACGGCGAATGGCACGGTGGATTGTGTTCACCGACAATGTTTTCTGGAAGTATTCCTGAGCCCATGTTGTGATTTCCATTACAGTAGCATTCCTGTATGTGATGCAGTGCCGTCTAAGGGCCCGAAGATCACGGGCATCCAGTATGATTTTCCGGCCTTGACCCTTACGCACAGAGATTGTTCCAGAGTCTCTGAATCTTTGGATGATATTATGCACTGTAGATGATAACTTCAAACTCTTTGCAATTTTTCTCTGAGAAACTCCTTTCTGATATTGCGCCACTATTTTTCGCCGCAGCATTGGGGGAATTGGTGATCCTCTGCCCATCTTGACTTCTGAGAGACACTGCCACTCTGAGAGGCTCTTTTTATACCCAATTATGTTGCCAATTGACCTAATAAGTTGCAAATTGGTCTTCCAGCTGTTCCTTATATGTACATTTAATTTTTCCGGCCTCTTATTGCTACCTGTCCCAACTTTTTTGGAATGTGTAGCTCTCATGAAATCCAAAATGAGCCAATATTTGGCATGACATTTCAAAATGTCTCACTTTCAACATTTGTTATGTTATCTATATTCTATTGTGAATAAAATATAAGTTTATGAGATTTGTAAATTATTCCATTCCTTTTTTACTCACAATTTGTACAGTGTCCCAACTTTTTTGGAATTGGGTTTGTACATGACTTAGCATAATGTCCTATCATGGGATTATATTTTAGCACGATATGTACTTTATTTTATGTTGAACAGAGAATCTCGCTGTTGGAGCTGAAGCTGTCCAGTCTTCCACATACAATCATTTAGGAGCTGCTCAAAATGCTGTTGATGGCAATAGTGAGTCAAATTACATGCTCGGGTCCTGCACTCACACTGCAGGGGACGATCCCTGGTGGAGAGTTGACTTGAGGAAAGTGCACACGGTAACCAGTGTTAGTATCACTAATCGAGGAGACTGTTGTGAAGAGAGGATAGTTGGTGCTCAGATCCGTATCGGCAACAGCCTGGAAAATAATGGCAACAGCAATGATCTGTAAGTGTTGTCTTGCACTCTCACGCTCTACTTACACAAATGTTTAGAAAATTAAGAATATAAGAATAAATAAGATCAAATTATTTTGAATAAATTCTTTGTATACAAACTTGACTTTGTCAGAAAAGTATTTAATTTGCTTCATGCATTTTTGATTGCTATGTCGCTCTCTGTGTGTATCAGGGTTACAACTATTGGGTTCATCCCATCTGGAGGCACAAACACATTTGATTTTAAGCCTGTTAAGGGGAGATATGTCAACATTTTTCTACCTGGGACCAATAAATACCTCACTCTGTGTGAAGTCGAGGTGTTTGCAGGTGAGAGATAAAAAGAGAGAGAAAGTGGTTTGTTTGTGCATGTGTACTGAATGTGTCAATATTAATGATGTTCTGATATCATTGGCAGATTAAGTGCAACAAGATGAAGTTACACCTCAGTCCACTCATCCCTGAAGCAAAAAAAAAAATGGGACAAGCATTTCTAAGATGCACTAATATCGCTCTTATTTCATTCTTCTACTTTTTAAAAGCATATTTTATCCTTAAGAGCTGTTTCAATGCAACTTATAGTAAAGGTTTTTAAAATGCCTTGAGAAAATGTGCTGTATGCGAAAAATGTTACACTATGTTGAGTCACTAAAAATGTTTTTACATGCGGTCTTTTGGATAAACTGCCTAGACTAGTCTTAAAAATGTTGTCATCTAATTTGTTTTCTTAAAGACTGGACTGGTTTACTTTTTAAAGTAAATTACAAAACGGTAGATTGGCCCAATTTGAATCATAAAAGTAAAACTAATTAGCTCTTGGCTAACTGCTAGTTGGTCAAACTAGTTCTTAAGACACAGTCTTAACGGCTATGTTTATGCAACTGACCAATGGCTTTAAGGAACTGGTGATTTAGAATAACTGTTATCCATTATACTTTTGTTAGGCTACTTGTTGCAGATTAATACCCTAAACACATCTAATCTTTATTTATCTTTGCTTTCTACATGAATAATAAAGAATGGCTAAAGCACTGTATGTTGTTTTTCATGTTGATGAGTCAAAATGGCCCATTTGGAAGTTCACAATGAAGACGAGGTATGATTTGTATGACATGTAGCCTACTCATGTAGCCGATTTGTAACTAACTATAATTTTGATAATCAATTAGCTGGCCGATTATTTTTTTTGATTAATCTGATAAAAAGCCCATTTTTTCATTTACAAAACACTATTCCACATTCCGCCCAATGCTGTGCTTCAAAGAAACATGCCAACTGAATGCTATGAAAACATACTGTATGGTGAATATATCTCTATGCTATAGATTATGTGTAAAAGAGTTACAAAGCACAGTTTAAACAGACAAATGGACAAAGGACAGTTTAATTCCCTATATTAGGCTAAACATGGAAATAATAATGATGAAGATGGTAAAGAAAAACACAAACTCAGTGTTAACAGATTAGAGGCATGTTCTACAGGAACACACATTCACTCTGAACGCAGTAACCTGTTACTGTCATTTCTTTATTCTGTAAATGTAAGAAACGTATTACATTTATATTCAATCGCATTACATTTATATTATCCCTTTACAGTTACTATCATAAAATACTTGAATTACATGTTGACTTTTAAACCTAAATGTAACGTCCAATAACAGATATATCAGCTAAATTAATTTTATTTGCGCTGAATATAATTTTTCTCCCCCTTTACTGCGTTCTGTCTGTTTGACGCGCATGCGCGAGCCGGCGCTGTTCAGTGAAGTCTGAAGTTTACGCAGACTGTCAGGAGGAGCCTTCATGCGAAATAGAAACATTCACGTGAATATGTAACATTTACAGAAAAGGATATTACGTAAAATGCAGTTTATGCGCTGAGGAAACATATCTCACACTGTCACATTAAACAGCACATGCATATGTCAAAGCGCTTGACAGGGCACGCGTGTTAAACATTAGGCTAATGCATTCGTTTGAATCTTAAAATAAAGTATTCTCATGTTTCGGGCAGCTTGATCACGCATCTTTCCCGCAGCAGCTCACTCTGTTTCATCCGCTATTTTTAGATGCATTTCGTCCATAGAACTGCATTATTCACTGCTGTAATTTGACGTGACTGGTGGAAGTTTTCCGTGCGCGGTGGCCAGACGCGACTAATCGATAATGACATTCGTTGTCGATTATTTTCATTCTAGATTATTATCGATTAGTTGTTGCAGCCCTAGTTGACAGAAATAAAAAAAAAGATGGTGGCAATAACATTAGGCTACATGCTCAGGTCCGTCACTCACCTCCGTGAAGTTGGCACCCCATAAAAATAAATAATCACCAAAACTATGCCATTCGTTTGTGCTGGTTTGGTGTTTGAGATATTAAACATAATTGTTTTGACCGTGTGACTGGAATCGCTCCAAATCAGCGCAGTTCGTTTGTGCTCTATTTGTGCTCGTTTGTGCCGTTAAAACAAACACGAAGTTGGCACCCCATAAAAATAAATAATCACCAAAACTATGCCATTCGTTGGCTGGTTTGGTGTTTGAGATATTAAACATAATTGTTTTGACCGTGTGACTGGAATCGCTCCAAATCAGCGCAGTTCGTTTGTGCTCTATTTGTGCTCGTTTGTGCCGTTAAAACAAACACTGTCTCTATTTTCCTTCCTTAGATATAACCAAAATATTTTCGGGAGCTGTGACGTCACTCTCCACCCCAGTTCGTCTAAATCGCACAAAACTGGTGTCATTCGTTTGTGCCGGTTTGTGTTGTTGAAATGAACGTCAAATATACTTCCCCTTCATAGAAATAACAAAAACAATTTTGGGCAGTGACGTCACTCTCCACCCCATGCCGTTCAAATATCTCCAAACCGGTGGCGTTCGTTTGTGCTGGTTTGTGCCGTTAAAAGAAACCCTGTAACTATGACCGCTTCTTTTATATAATAAAAACAAACTTTTTATGAACAGTGACGTCACCCAGCAAGCCGTCATTTCGACGTCTCGGTTATAGTCCGGCTATGTGTAACCCACTTCTAGCCCAAATAACCTTGAATTTGGTTTCATGTCGTTTTTTGGCAAAATAACTTGTGAGATGTATGATATTCCATCATGTAAGTAAAGTCAACAGCGTTTACCAGGGTTTGGTTTCATTTCTTTGACATGTTCAATACGTAGCCTGAGCGTAGCCACGATTTAGCTCGTAGTCAGAGCGGCTATCTGTAGCCCACTTATAGTCAAACCTGATTCACTGTAGTTTTTGGCCAGTCAGCGCATGAAATCACTGATATCCCATCATGTTCGCAGTGTCAATAATATCTACAAAGATATACGTGTCACTTCATGACATGGTCTATATGTAGCCACGATTTAGCTCTAAATTGGACGGGTAGTCTGCTTTTAACCCACCTGGCGAAATCTGTGGTCTAATTTTAACGGCTTGGCTATAGCCCAATACCAGTAACCAGACCAGCGATGAGCATAGCCTAAATAGCCTTAAAATTGTTTACATGTAATTTTCGCCCACGCAGCTTCTTATCAAATGCAAGTAAACTTTTGAATAGTTTAAATTATCACATTTAAATGTTTCAAAAGTTTACTTGCATTTGATAATATGATGTCATGCATCCCACAAGCTGTTAAATGTTACATTCATACGCATTATATGATATTATTGATATTCGGTTGTCTTTCATGTTATAAATAAAAATGCAATTACAATTCCCAACCGCTAGACAATTGGCAATTGTAGCCCTACTGAGACATGACTACTTGCAAAGCGAGACATGAGAGTTAGAGATCAGTGTTGTGTTTTGAATTTTGTTTTTACACGAGAGAGCACTAAGTTTACCTGTCGGAAAGCAGAGGGCAAACAATAAAGGACATTCCTACTTGGTCTTGTAAGTATCTGTGTTTTCGTTTTGGCATGTGTTCATTATTTATCTATATTATTTGTTATCATGTTTAGGAACCCTGACATTTTAGTGAAGGGAGCAGATCGTAGTTGATAGTGACCCGTGACTAGGCCCACGGTTCAGCACGCATGTGTTCAGAGGATTAATTGCAAAATTTAATAGAGTAAAAGTTTTATCATTTGTAAGTTACGTGTTTACAAACTCAATTGATTTTTAAAACAGCGCAAGAAGAGCAAAGAGCAAACAACAGAACAAACACAGCTTTGACAAAGATTAATCCATATTAATTTATACAGTGAATACACTCAGAAGTATTGGAGAAACTGAGGAGGAGTTTCAACATCTGGAAAAGATCCGGGCAGTAATGGTAAAAAAAAAAAAAACACTCCAAAACAACATTTCCTCACATGTTGTGCATCACTCTCATCTTTGACAAAGTCCATAATTTATTTTAATTATTATATTGAATTTATTACTGAACAATGGCTTGTTAGATACAGAGAGAGCATGAGCTAATTGAATAGAATATCTTTGTCATTGTACAAGTAACATTAAAATAAGATTTATTTTGAAACTTCCAAA